ATGTGTGTCCTCCCTTCAGCATAAGGGGCTGAGTTAGAAATGAGCTCCCAAGACCAGCTCAGCAATGGTCTCCAGAGCTGCCTCACTCCATCAAGCACTTCTTTGGACCACTCTTATGCCCTTACTGCCAGTGATGTACAAAGATATGAAGGAAATTAGAAGCTAACTGGTCATAAGATTAGATATTTTATGTTTATAATATGTCTCAAGCTAATTTAAATAAGAGAGATGATTTCCTTTCTCATCAGTGAGTTTTAACTTGGGAAATTACCACGAAACCAGGTAAAGATGAGAAATCCGTAACTAACAGCCTCTTGATCCTTTGTCTGAAATTTGAAATCAGTCTCCTTATTTCTTTCTAGAATAATGTGATTAATTTATCTCTTGGAGCTGAGCCACTAATTCAGGGAACAAGTGATGAATTTAGCTTTCTGTTTATGGATGGTCCTTTGAGATGAGATAATGCTTTCACATAGCTTATCATTGGTGTTTTTTTAGTCTTGTTTTATCTTTTTCCCCAGTTATTTTGCTCTTTTCCCAGTGAATGGCTTGTTGTGATTATTTGGTAGTCAATATTTAACATGCAAGTCTTGTGGGTTCATTGTGATAAGTCACACAATGCTGCAACTGTCTCTGTGTTGAATAAACATAGCATAGGAAAAGAGTCTGAGACTGTCCCCAGGACTGTGAAAGTCTCAAGGAGAAACAGCAGCTTAGAAAAGAGCAAGGGACTGATAGAATATGTGAAAATTATTGTCTTGGCTTCACCAGACAGGCCTTGCCTAAAGCATAATGCCTTGAATACTTCCTGCTGTAAGGTTTATTGGGAGGGTGCAGAGCTCACCTATCATATTCACTGGCACGTGCTGTGCAGGAATTGCTTTGGGGGTGAGATCCTCGTGGATGTACAGCAGCCAGGTTGAGACCTGGATCATTTCTGGTGTTTTAGGAACAGTGTGCCCATAACCCTTTCCTGAAGGGCATGGGTTTGGTGTGTCCAACCACCCCTGAAGAAAAAGGGGAGCTGGGAATGGATGCTGTGTTGTGGTGGTCTCAGCTGTGCCATCTTGTCCTTATAACCCTCAGGAGTGAGAAAGGAATCCATTTAGATTTTTATGATGACACCTTTAACACAATTGATAGAAGTCACATTCATAAATGATTCTGGAAAATCATCCCTTTCCCCTGTGCATGAGTGCTGTTGCAATGGGCATTGTGCCAAATGGCAGCATTGGATTATTTTATGCTTTGTGAAGCCAGGATGGCTTGAATATTGTTATCATCTTTTCACTGAGAACAATACTGCACCATAAAAATGAAACACAATATCATTCCTGATTTGCTAGAAATGATTGAAGGATCCCTGTTCTGAAAGCATAAGTGTATTCCTTCTCCATTCTCATCCTCCCCAGAAATTAAGAAATTACTCTGAATGACTGCAAATATCTTCAACAATGGGCAAATTTGTAGATGTTATTTTTATAAAAACTCCCTGCCAAACCACAGACACCATTTCAGAACACAGGTTGTCTTAAAAGTAGCAAACTGACATGATAAAATTAAAAAATACTCAGTTTTATTGTGTGTCCTTTATGACTAGTTGGAAAATACCAAACCCCTGCTTGTAATCACAGGCAGTATACAAGACTATTTAAAAAGGAGTGGATGTTGGCATCCAGGTTTAATTACAGCTTTTTTAAAGAAAAACCTCTATCATAATTGCAGTGTCATTGTTAGATTGTGGGAAGACTTCCTCTGTAGTGGAACAGGTACATCCATGAAATCCAGGATGCTTTTCCCCCCCTTCAGGAGTGTTAAGTGTGTAATGCAGGGAAAATAGGTGAGGAAATATCTTCAGTGAATCATCTACTTATTTCCAATCTTCCTGAATTACTATTTCTTTTCAAACACAGCAGCACCCTACAGGGACAGACTCCTTTACATGAATACTAAATAGAACTAAGAAAAAAGAAGTAATATTTTAAGACACACTGCCAGGCTGCCCACAATGTGATGTCATTTTTGGCACTGGAATAGAGGAATTTTTAATTCCTCTGTTTGGAATTTGAAAATTTTTAATTTGGTCAATAAACAATAATCTTGGTAAACACTTTTTTTTTTATGGGGCAAAAATGGGATTCTTCTAAACCAGCTCTTGGTTTACATAGTATGTAAAAGTACAGTGACAAATGTCATAAGAATAATAACAATGTAGAAAACTCCTCTTTTATTGTGTGATAAAATTGACTGAAAATTCATTATATCAAACACATTCATCTGGCCTGTTGTTAAGCATTAGCACTGTGTAAGAGAAGTATGCATTTTGTTAAAAGAAAACATGGGTTTTCTTGTACTACACAAAAATCCCCTATTCCATAAATTTTTAAATGCTAGTGATCTTTGTATTTCTCACTGCTCTGTGGTTTGGATGCATCTTCTTCCCTTTGTCTATTCAGGTTATGATATCTCTAAGGGCTTATTTTTGTCTTCTTTGTGTATAAACAAAACCCAAACATTGCGCTCCTCTGTATTGTGAACTTATCAATACAATGTTTAAAAGAAAACTTAATACAATATTTCTGTATTGTGAACTTATCACAATACAGAAATAAAAATAATAACAGTGCTCTTCTTTAGAAGATACCTCAATCAAACAACTCTGTGCCAAAATTTCTCTTCCTACTTGATCTCATAGGTTTGGGACACAAAGGCTGCCCTTTTGCATATTTGAGCCAAGGTCTGAGACACAAAGGCATAGGTAGCTCTATATTAGTATGTGCATGTATCTACAAATGTCTATTTAGAGATATGTATATAAATATATATAATTTTAGAAATGATGAGGCAACGACAACATCAGGAATGTCACCTCAACAGTGTATGGGATTAACATTTCTTGGGTGACCTTGGTTTAATTTATGTTTTTTCCTTTTGAATGCCTAATTTCACAGCTTTGACTGACCTTCTCTGTCCCAAACTTAGCTGCCTGTCTATTAAAGAATATGCATAGTTTCATTTTTAGATGTAAGTTTTTATCTTTTCAAAGGGATGGGGGTAGACAATTCAAAGGCAGTTAACATTGCTTATAGTCTCTAAAGGATATGCATGTATGTGTCAGATTAATTTTAGCAAATTTTGTTAAATCATTTATTTTAGGGCTGAATCTCATCTCTCTGCTTTCTTCTTATACTTTTGAACACGCTGATTTTCTTTTGAACATTTGACTTTTTGATCAAGTTTTTAGTTCTGTGTAAGTTCTTAATTTTACCTAAACCTTTCAAAAGTAATTTCTGTCCAAATCCACACTTTCATTGAAAACTAATTGAATTTTCAGGATAAGATTACAGTCATTTGAGATCTACAGATCTGAAGGGCCACAGATGGTTCTATTTCTGTATGTGTGGTAGGCTTGATGTGAAACATTTGATGGTTTTGCTGCTTCTCTGATCTGCATTTCTGCCTGCTAGCAAACCACTAGGACTTTTCAGTTAAAAAATGCTAATTAATTGTTTGTATGGACATGTAAATTCAATAAGACTCCTGGATTTATTTTACTCACTGCAGTATGGACTAGAAAATTTGAAGAGCACCAGCCCATTCAGTCACTTGGGGCATATGTACAAGGAGATTTGGGCAACTCTGAAATAGTTTCTGTGGATCTGAGCCTTTATATACAAAATCAGGGTATGTTTTTAGAAGGATATTCAAGTATTTAGAATAGCCCCTATATTAAAGGTGAGTTTTGTCTCAAATAATAAACCAAAAGTGTTTAATATTCTGCCAGTAATCCAGGAGAAGTTGTGTTTGCAGGCAGAGCCCACTTTTTTTGAGGCTGCTGAAGATTCAGAATCCCTTCTCACACACTCCAGCCTTTTTCATTCTGAACAAGTTGTGTGAATATTTAATATGCTGTAGACTCGAGGTTATAAATGGTTTGCAACAAATTATTCATGCAACAAACTCAGACTCTTCTGCTTCCTGAATCTCTGTGAAGGTGGCCATTTGCTCATGTAGAAATCCACTGAATCTTTTACAGGTTTTTTGGGTTGTTGTTAATATTGGTGGCACAATGTGTCTCACAGGGCAAGGTGGACCAATTATCATTCTATTCCTAAAGCTCCCTAAATTTTCTTACTGAATTTGACACAGTGACAGTATCATTAACAGCAGTCAACTTGATTTCAGCAGTTTTTGTGGTTTGCTTGTCATGTGTGACATTTGAATAATATACAGAATCACTTGGTATACTTAATAATATTGCAATACATTTTTGTAATGGCTGTTGCTAAAATATGTGCATTGGCAACACTTACTGGTACCTACTCCATTCTCATCTCCCTCAAATAAAGTGTTTTATTTATTTGCAACACCTGGAGAGCTGTGAGAAGGATATTGTAAAAATCCATCTGGACAAGTGAGTCCTGGTAACATAAATAACAGTGCTCAAAGGCCATATGCACAAAGTAAAAGTGGAGGAGCTTTTGGGTATCTGGTCATATATTTTCTAAAGTTGCCTGCCTAGAAACAATAATGGTGCCAGGTTGGTTATAAATGATATGTGGTTCAGAAATGTAGTTCCAGAAATTTTTCATTTGTTGTTTCACCCAAATGTTTTTTCCTACAGATGCTTTGAGTCTGCTGTTAACAAAAGATAAGCACTGGCTCTTAAATTTTTGTTGATGACTTTAGGTAGGTGGGAATTTACCTATACCATTAACATTCAGATAACATCTTGTAGGGCTCTTGATGCTCATGTTGTAAGGTCAGATCCATGCTGGTGTGCTGAATGGAAGCTGCCTTCCACAGGTTTTGGTGCTGGCAGTGTAATTCCTCTCTCTTCCTTTGCTTCTCATTCCTCAAGGTCTTCTCATTTCCTGCTTTTCTGTCAGCAGAAACAGCTGTGGTGTTTGCTCCTCAACTCAATGATAACACATTTTTTCCCCTGAGAATTCTGGTTTGAATTCAGATTAACTAGCTGGGTTTTATCCTGTAAGTCCACATGGTTCAAGCAAACCACTTTTTTTATTACATTTTTGTCTAGATTTTAGGATTTTTGCTGGGATTTGAGGGTGCTCTCTGGGTAATACTGGCAAATCTTTCTTATGAGGTGTTTGGTTTCTTCAATCCATTTCTACTCCTGTCTTTTCCTGTTTTCCAGCTGGCAAACTTTCTAAACCCTGGGTGAATACTGAAGGCAGGCGGGATGATCGTGTTTATGTGATTTTTCAAACACGGAACAATCCCAGAAATTACATTGTCAAGCTCCTCCCTCCTGTGTAGAAAGTTGCACGTCCAGAAAGGTCTGTGAAGAGAAATCAGTAAAAGAAATGGAGGGTACTTCAAAACAGTCAAAGCTTTATCATTATTTAAGTCCAAAGAGCAACAGCAGTAATTATCCGTATACCCAGCACAGCACATGAAAGCATGGTAACCTTGAGAATTATAAACTCTAGAAGAAGGAAATTGGCAAAGAAACCTATTGTCAGAAGGAAAGAAGACTTTTTGAATTTTTAAAAAAAAATCTGAACTCTGAGATATTCTTTAGTTTATGTTTTTAACTACAGCTGTATCTTCCTGCTACACAGAAGAGAAGGTACTTTCTTTTTCCTCTGGAAGAAAAAAAAAATTTAAAAGTATCTCCTGCATAAGCTTTTTAATTTTATAATCTGCCTAAGAATATTTTGCTTCCTGCTGTAATTTTTCAGCTGATTAAAAGCTAAGCCATGTGTTCTTACCAGCATCCAGGATTTGTATTAATGGAAATAGCAGCAGATCCTCTTGTAATGAAGGAACACAGAGGTACAGAAATATTTTTGGGATCATTTAACTGCTTTAAGAGTCAGATAGATAAAAGTGGCAGCCAACGCCAACCACCACAAAACTACCACAGCCCATAAAATGTCACATTGACACATTGAGTTTCTTAAACTATGTAATATCCCAAATTTCTCTGCCAGAAGTAACATTGTCTTCATGTTTCTGTCCCCCAGAGGGTTTCATCTCCACTTGTACATTCTTGTCACTGCTCGACAGGATGTTGAATGTGGATCTGCTGCTTTGGGTGTGTTTAAATAAGAAGTGACTGCACTTCGCTTTGAGAATATTTCAGACTTCCTGAAGAAACTGTAAGTTCATTTTTCCTTTGTGTGCTTTTCTCTTGCACTGTTCATTTTACACCATTCTTTGGTGTACATTGTGTCTTTCAGTTCCTTCAGCACCTGCATCTTAACAAATAATGGTGTTAGGAATCCAAAGCAGCTTGGTTTCTTACATTCCATGTTTCAGACATCTTTAGAGCCAAATGTCTGCTGAAAGCTGAGCAGTGTTTTTAGGAGCTGTATTCATGAAGTCACTGTCCTAAACTAAGGACTTTTTATATTACCTGGACAGTAATTCTTCCCTTTGTTCTACTTTGTGTATCACCCAGGATCCCATTTGTCTGTCTCACCAGCACACCCAAAATCTCAGGTCATGTTGAACATTCAAACAGGTCATCACTAAAAAAAGTAGATAAATTATTTGTGAAATGTGTCACTTGTAATGACCTACTTTAAGGTTTGCTGAATTTAACAAAAGATTTAGATAATAATTTTGGTTTGTGTGGGGCCTTTTTCTTTTACATCACAAACTGCTTGGTTAGATTTCTAAGAGCTCTAACAGAAAATAAAAATCCTTTTTTACTGCCTCAATGTTTGATGCCATTAAAGGAGTAAGGTTCTATGATTCCCATGCTATGCTGACTGCATGCATTTTCACTCAGCAAATTGGCACAGATTTCTTTACATTTTTTACTTCCCCTCTCCCTGTCCCAACTGAGTGAGCTCTGCAGTCACTGTGTTTGCAGGTGTATCAAGACCAGCAGAATGTGAATCCTGTATTGCTGAGAGCATTCAGTGTGTAATCACATTGCCTTGGCTTGGCACTCTCAACCATGGCAGTTCTGATTTCAGTGCCAGCCAGCAACCTAAATATTTGCTTTTCTGAAGGGTCTTGCAATCCAGACTGAGCTTGGTTTTTTTGGTTTTTTGTTGTTTTTTTTTTTTTTCCTGCAGCTATACTGCTCTCAGCTGTCAGGTACACCTAGCCAGGCTTTGGTCTCAGCAGAGATTGCAGTGTAACCAAGACAGAGCTCCAATTCCAACTTGCAAAATGATGTTTGTGCATCTGCAGTTGGGTCATTTGACCACTGTCAGGATTTAGTCCAAAACCAGCTCCTTCCTTAGTTCACTGCAGTCCAAATGCAGCAACCTTTCAACATTTCTTAGAAGAGCATGTTGTTAAAAAATTCTCATTGTCCTTTGGGAACCTTTTCCACTCATTTTCTAATACTGCTTTTGAAAGTTCTTTTTGGTGCTCCAAGAACCATGATAATAACAAGATGACCTCTTGATTTTTTCCTTGAGTGTACGCCTGTTTTCTTCTTCACTACAATCCCTTAGAACTCCTGCCTTGCTCTGCTGCTTTCTGCCAAACCAGGGGAAGTGCCAGTGGAGTGCCCAGGCTCAGAACACAGCATGGCCCATCAACAAAGCTGGGAAATCAGCAGACATTATCACATTTGTGAACACTTTGCCAAAAAGAGAAGGAGGAGAGGAGGGGATGATGAAAAAATACAAATCTTCACTCCTCTTGTTAGCTTCTGGGTATGTCTGAAGTAATCAGAAGGAAATGAAATTTCAAGTTGGCAGTTTTCCCTTCAAAATGCTCTGTGCATTAGTGCTGAATATGAATAGCATTATCTTTTTTTTCTTTTCTTTTTTTTTTTTTTTTTTTCTTTTAAAAGATAAATATCTATTAATAGGTCTCTGTAACAACAATTGCTTACCGGTTTATGCTTATGGCTTATCACAAAACTGTTCAGCAGGACTCGTGGCAAAACTGTGAAGTTTATATAATTGCAACCAGAGGCAAAGCTTTGCTTCAGGGTCTGCTACACTATCAAACTCTGCAAGAGCTGAAAATAATGATGTAATTCCAATGACTTCTTCTAAGGGGCCATGTGAGCTTATTTGACCCAACAAGACACTCACTTTGGCAAGCAGAATACCTTTGATTCAGAGCTCCTTCTGATTAAAACAGAGCTCTCACTGGTCTGTATTGTAATTATCTTTTGATCTTCATTGTGTCTTTTCAGTGGGATGTGATAATCACATTAAAATTAAATATTATACCTCCTTTTTGGTGTGTGTGTTATCTGCAGGTATATTTGTGCAAGTGTTTCAGTGTAATATCACGGAAAATTACCACAGTGACAGAACAGCAAACATCCCATATTATTACCTTGTGCCATGGGATTTCAAGTAAACTAGAACTCTTTACAGTCTAGGAGAGCTGCCAGTCCCCCTGAAATTACCATTTTAATTGAATTGATCATAAACACTTTGCTCTGGCTGTAATAGTAGACCAAGAAGATTAAATCTATTTAACCATAGTTTAGGGAAAGGGTGACCTTTCAGCCAGTTTTGTTATAATTGAAAGGTTGCTAATATTTCTGATTGGAGCTTGATGCAAGGAAATGTGAAGTCAAATTGTAATATCAGAAATACTATTTTTGTTCAGATATGTAGATGTAGTCAGTAAATATATATTTAGCTATTTTCTCACTTTTATAATAGTTATCTTAATCTGAAATTAATATTGGAATTTTTATTAGGAATATTGAGGAAAATACAAATGGCTGATGCACCCACACACAAAATAAACTTATTTCTAAAGGAATAAAGTGCCATGCCTTAAAATAGCAAGGGTCTTCTGGCCTCAAAATTTCCAGAGCTAATTCTCTTTTTTTTTCTCTGAATTCTTTTGTCTTAAAATTGCCAGCAGCCCAAACATTGTTAGACCTTTTTGTCCTGCCCCTCCTTTCGCTGTGCTCTTTGCTGCCTGTGGTCTCTGTCAGCTCCAGCGCACTGGAGAGCTCAAGCTGCTCCCTTCAATCCAATTAACCCCACACCATTACAGCCTTGTTTGGTGTCAGACTTGCAACTTTTTATTCTTTCCTTATTTAAATGAGCAACTTGATTCCAGCATCTCCCTCATATTGGTTCTCTCAGATAATTGGTCACTATTACAACTTGCTTTCAAATCTTTCCCCTTTTGAAGTTTACCTATTGCAGAAAGGAAAAGGATTTTTGCACCTTTTACCTGCCATTTTAATAAATTTAATCTACTAGTCTTTTACCTGGGTGGAAAGACAGCCAAAGTTGAATTGCAGAATGTGATTCTAATATCTGTTTTCAGCATCCTTCTAGGTACAATATAATAGAAGCTTAAGCAATTGTAAATAGGGAAAAAATAGGGTTTTGCCCCCTCAACAGCTTTCTTAGGTGGGCTGATTTTGTTTGCAGGTATGCCTGCAAACAGAAGATGCAGTGATTTGACTGTTCCAGACTAGTTTTGTCATTGCTCCTTTAAATGGCAATCTTGTACTGTATGCCTTTCTTTCTCAGGTGAAAAGATTTGTGACGGAAAATACAGCTCTTCAAAGATTTCTAGTATTGACAGAGGAGTTTGAGAGGAATAAAGCATGCACAAATTATCTGGGCTCTTCAAATTCAGGTACTGTTCTCCCCTTTCTAAATTTCCTTTCTTTCTTTCGAAATATGATGCAAGGCAGCAATTCTTCATCGGCATTGAAGCTCAGACCATAACTTGGACTGTGTGGACACCATAATTGTGATTGATCTTGTGCTGCAGCCAGCTCCCGACTCAGACTGGAACTCAGACACACAGAGAGTCAATACAGCCCTCTTTACTCAACAAAACCTAGTGCAGAGATCTGGGAAGGAGAGGAGAGTATCAGAAATGCCGATCCCATTACACCTCAGGTGTTTCTTCTGCTCTCCTGTATTACCAACAAGAGGTTTCAGGACTGTGTGGTGACTTTATGGATGCATGTGAGGGAAATTCTCCTTCTGGGAAACAATCCTTCTGAGTGCACAGCTGTCAAAATGGATTGCCATCAAGGCTTTGAAAAGTAGTTAAATATTATTTAATGAAATGAGCAGATTGGAGCAGAGAGGGTTAAATGTATCTTCCAAAAAGTTATACAATATCTGGAAAAAAATTATTGGGTGAGTTCCCTCTGATTGCTAATTGCATACAGTATTAAGACATCATTTTCTTTCCTTTCTCATTTGCTCTATGCTTCAAGGTAAAAGATGGAACACGGGATTATGACAAATTCTCCTCTGGGATCTGTGTAGTGGGGCTTGTCTTTGATCTTCCTTTCTCCTGCCCTTGGAGACCAAATGCATTTTTGCACATGGCAAATGCACAGAACTGTGGGGCTCAGGACTGCTGTGCTGATCAGAGAGAATTTCCCTGAAAGGTCTGTGCTCTGCATTATTGAAACATTAAAAAGTGTTTGGAGCTTGAATTGGACATGTCCTGCCCTGGAAGCTGTGGTCTGGCTTGGGATGAAGGGTCAGATGGTCCCAAATTTGGATGTGACCTGTGCAGAGTCATGAGGCAGATTTTATTTTCCTTTTTATTTTGTATTTGCTACCTTGAACTGGTGGTTAATAAGGGAGTTACCTGTAATTTTTGTGAGCTCTGCTCTCCTGGTAACAGTTATAATGTATTCTAAGGGATTAAGGCTATAGAGGGCATATATTTCAAATAGATTTATATTAGAGAAGCCAATCCTGTCAATCAAGTAGCTGATACCTAAAACTGGATATTGAGAACCTCAGATTAAAGATACAGGGGCTCCCTAAAATGAAGTCTGTACCAGGCTGTGCTGGGTCAGCAGCACAAAAAAGCAGCACTGAGCTGTGTGCAGTGGAGATAAAATGAAAATCGAGATAGAAAATGAAAATAGAGCTCTTCAGCAGCACCATTATTTCACTGGCACTGCTGTGTGTTGGGTGTCTTGGAGCTGCTAAATTTAGCACATTTTGTGCAAGGTGTGTCAACACCCTTGGAGGGCTCTGCCATCGTGGAAGAGCTTGGCAGGGTGGTGCTGAGTGAGATACAGGAATAGGAAATACAGGAATAGGAATGGGAAATGTGGGAGGTGGACATCGTCCATGTGTGGCCATCAGCAATATGAGGCTTGTTCCACCACAAAGTGACCTGAAGGTGCACTCATTGTTTATCTTAAAGGCTTCTTGCACAATTGATTGAATAAGGGTATATTTGGGAAAAACAGGACTTTATTTTCAGCTGAAAACTTGTTCTGTGGGATTTTCTTCATTTCCCTGGTACTTTTTTTTTTTTTTTTTTAACTAGGGTAAAGGAAGGAAAAGACCAAGGTTTTTATTAGATTTTCATTAAATGTAGTCCATCTAAGCAAGGAGGCCTTGTATTCAGTAAAACTTGTGGTGCTATCATGATGAAAAGAAACTCTTAGTATAATTTGTAACAGCCAACAAATAGATGGTACTTTAAGTTTTTTCAGTTTGCTTCTGAAGAAGGCCCAATAATTGAATAGGCTTTGTTGCAGAGAAAGAAACTACTGATGCCTCTTCTGGTTGATTTGTTTTTAATTTTCCATCTTTTTCTTTCCGGAGTTTACTTGGTTTTTGCCCTTCTGTTGCCTTCATTTGGAGGCTCTGAGTGGCAGTGTGTTTTTCCAAGAGGAATGGCTCTTAAAATCATGAATATCAGCTTTCAATACAGTTCAGATAGGACCTCAAATATAAACATTTTTTCTTATGTGGGAGTTGAAAAAGCAAGTTGTTTAAAATAGCCTGTATTTTGTCTAAAAAAAGGACATGAACACATTAACTATTCTGCCTTTCCTCACAAACTCCCAATATTGATGTATTAAAAAACTTCTTAGGCCAAGTTCATAGGGATACATTTGCTTTTCTATGCACGTGTCACTCCCTGATCCAATTATTACTGCATTTTGCAGAGGAAAAATTAATTAGCAGTTTGTCACTGTCCTTCTGGCTCCTGGAGATCCAGTAATTACTTGATTTTTATAGAACTGAGTTTATTACATGCAATAGACAAGTCTGGACAAAACAACTTACTTGGTGCAGCTTCTGAAACCTTACTGCTATTATCAGCATCCTCGCTGTGACTGCAGAGCTGACAGACTTTAGGACTTAGGATGCAAAATTCAGGTTATACTTTATTATTTGGAAAAAGGTCTTACATTTTTCACCCACCTCCAGCAATTATCATACTACCAAAAAGTATGATGGACATATTTCTGGTTAAGGAAAAATTATCAAGGAGAAGTCCACACTTGAAGGAGAGGTAGTGTTAAAATTTAATTTTCAAATCTGACAGCTTAGTTCTGCAGGGGAGTGTTCAGCTTTTCATATATTAAGAAAAATACCACAAGGATTTTTTTTCTCCCTGTAGTTACACAATAACCTCATATATGGGTATAGCAGTTGTTTATCTAGCTAAATAATGGAGATTTTTCTCCTTTTCAGTATGTATCAGTATCTGATATTTTCCCTGAGGTCAAAAAAAGTACAATTTGCCCAATACATCTATTTTCCAGTATTTTTGCTGCCTCTGCAGCACAGCTTAAAAGTTCCACATCTGCAGACTTCTGCTCTCTTCCAGCCTTCTTCACCTTTGAAAAGGTTCACACCACCTGTGTTTCCCAGGACATGAGGACTTTTGGAAGGCCCATGACGTGTGAGCCATCGATAGCTGCACGTTGCAGCTGTGTGGACACAGTGGAGGCAGATTTCATCTGAGGTGGAGCAGTTAGTAACCTCTGAGCAGGAGAAATTCAGAGCAGAAAACCAACAAGTCTCAAGCAAGAAGCAAATATTCTTCACCAACCTCCCATCTTTGGGGGTTCCCTGCTCAGATTCCTCCCACCACAGCTTCCTGGGCATCTAATATCCTCAAACACCTTTAGGAACTGAATACCTTTGATGTTCAGATGGGAATGGAATCCTTTGTAAGAATGATACATAGAGAATAATTTACACAAGATGTTTTACTTTCCTGGTTTTGTGACTTTGACCTTGTTTTTCTAGGTATTCAGCCATTATTAAGAGTTTTCTCTTCCCAGACTGTCTGTGGTTATTTGCCAAGCGTTGAAGTTTGGTAAATTGTGTGTAAATATTTCCAAAAGGGAAGACAAAATTGTGACAGCATGAGAATGATTTTGCCACAAAGGTAAGAACTGTTTCTCATACATCTATTTACAATTTCTAGTAGAAAGTATCACTTGGAAAACAAGGAATTCCCCAGAAAACCTTGGGGGAAATGACTCTGATTAGTCATCTTAATATCAGACATAGGCTGCCTTGGACATTTTATATCAGAGATGCAGATCCCATTGTACTGCCTTTTTAAAAACTGTTTCCACATTGGCTGAGGTTTCTAATTCAAATTCCTAAATGGGCATTGTGCTTAAAAAGCCTTTTTCCAAGGAATTTGGAGGAACTTGGGCTTCTCTGAGGAGCCTTTGTTCTGCTTTTGGCCATGCTGAGCTCTGACACTGATCCATTGATCTGCTGTCCAGGAATTGCAGTATTTATTTCAAAAAATTCTCTTTAGTCTTTGGTAGCATGAGGTATGTGCTGCATAAAATTATTGCAAAATGTTTGTAGCCCCACAAAACATCCAGGCATATCCATTGTGTGCAAATAAATGCAAGGAAATGCAAATAATAACCACTTTAACTTTGGCTAAACCTTTAGAGTCTAGATACAATTATTTTGATAAGTGCTTATGTGAAATAGTATTTTTATTGCTACATGCAATAATCCAGGACAACAATATTTTATTTTTGTCAGTTTCTGGGTGAAAAATAGCAACACACCATAGAAGAATGATGACATCTACACATTATTCCTTCATTCATTTTTTTAATTGTATTCACCAGAAGTTATCTGTGAGTTCATCTCCTGATACAATTAGCAGCATGAATTTAGAATAGTAAATGGATCTGAGGATTACAAACTGATTCAGTATGGGTGTATCTAAGAAAACCCACTCTGTTATGCCTCATTTAATGCAATATGTTGTGTACTTTCTGTTCACCATGAACACAGAGTTCACTTACCTGGCACATTTCATTTTCACATCACCTTGGCAGAGCGTGGCTGTGTTTCAACTAAAGCAGGACAACAGATGGTTGTGGAGGTGTGGGATTGCAATTTTCTCCGTGGTAATACTTTGAATTTTTACTGCCCTAGTACTTGTTCAGTGCTAAATACAGTGACACTCACTTGTGGTTTAGTCACTTAAAGGTAAGCCTGTGTTGTTTTTCCTGTGCTGCACCACATCTCACATCTCACTGCGCCTCAGGATCTGCTTCTGCTGATCCAGGGGGCAGAGTTCTGCCTGCAGACATCATTGCTGGCTGTGTGCAGGTGTCTCAGGTGCTCCACAGCTCCTAAAACCACCCTGGACCCCTCTGTTCCGACAATTCAGATCCTGTCCTGGAAGCACACACACACACACACACACACACACACACACACACACACACACGTGCACACAGGATCTTGCTCTCATGCCCTGGAGGTTGAGTCCACACAGTTAATCTTGAAAAGTGCAGATCCAAATATTTTTTTATTATTTGCTCATGTCTGGAATGTATTGACTGTTTTTATTAGAATTTTTAGCTCTAGAAATCACCTTCATTGCATAAAAATTTAACATTTGTTTCTAGTTTCTTGATGCCCGTGTCCTGCTCTTGTGCATGAGAGCTTTGCAACAGCTCCTGGGGAAGGATAAAGGAAACCTTAAAATCTCCTTTTGCTGTTACCTTAACAAGCTTGTCAGAAATTCCTTGCATCATAAAATCTACTTATACATGTCCTGACACCTTTTAGGGATTGTTTTTTTCAGCATCTTGTCCTGAAACTAATTTTCCAGCTCAACTACCTTAAGCTAAATTATTTTGGAGATGCTGATAAAATATAGAGAAGGGATATCCTCAAACTCACTGTTAGGAAATTAGTCATCCTTCATGTATTGTTTCTGGACACTTACAATTCCCTGGGATTCTTTGGGCCCTGGCCTTTCAGAGTATTGCTGCTTTAATAGGTGGCTTGAACTCAAAGCCTTTCCACCACCCAAGCATGGTGGGGCAAATACTACTTTTAGCCTTTACAGTAGTAACCAGTTTTCAATTTTCACATCCTCCTGTGACATTTTTCACTCAGTTTGTCACTGGATTTTTTTTACACCAGTGGTAGCAATATTCCTAATATTTACAATTTAAAAAGTATATATAGGCCTACATTTCTTTGTGCTCTGATTTCTAATTCTTGCAGAATAAGTTCTGTTAAGTGGCTTCCTTTTCTACTGAGGAATGCAAAGATGGATTATGAGCTCTGTGAGAATGTGCTGCCATATATATATATACAACGTTGTGCAATGAGCTTTGGACAGAAGTCTTTGCAAATTCATTCTTTAATCTTAAAGCAGGTAATCATGCATCTTTTGTATGTGTTTGTAAGGCAAACCTACAGACAGCTTGTCAGTGCCAAATTTGCAGTGGGAAAGGACTCTTGTACTGTCTCTCTTGTAGAGACAGTGACTGATACAAGCATCAACTCCCACTGATGACACTTCCACATCTCCAGTGATGCTAATCCTTTGTGTTTGCTTTTCCATACCTCATGCTTTTGCTTATCTTGTCTGTTATGCTTGACAGGAATTTACATTATCTATACGTTCACTCCTCATTTATTCTCATCTTTTACAGGAATTGGGGTTTTTGTCAGGGAGAGCTTGGCTAACTGAGCTTTTTGGTTTTGAAATAAAAAATATCTCACTAGGATGATCAGATGTATGTAATATAATACTTTTTTTGAAAAAATGGGGAAGGCTGACATGAAAAAATGTAAACTTCCTTGATGATAACTAGAAGTCATGAGGTAGTGGCTACCTAATGATTTTTTGTAGTGGTTTTAGAGTGAAAGCAAATTATCATAGCTGTGGAGGACAGATAACAGTAACAGTGACTCTTGTTTACATGTTGAAATCTGGCATTCCACACATCGAGTTATATCTAACCCTCTTCAGCACCTGTCAAAAGTAATA